AAAGGCTTTTAAAAACGCTAATCCGTTCGGAACCTACAAATTCGAGGGGTGGTATTTAAGCTTGCGCAAGGCAAAGTTTGAAGACCCATATCTTCGCAATCACGCAATTAATCAAAAATCGCCACGACAAAGGTGAGGAGAATTCATTTAAGAACAACATATTTCAATTTCATGGAAAAAAACCCAAAAAACCGCTTCCAGAAAAGCTCTGAAGTAACCCCATATGTTTGTTCACAAATTTCATGTGGTGAAGCGTTTTACGCATTCTGATTGGCTTAGGGCAAAAATGTAAAGAAAAGCGCTGATTGGTCGAGAACGAAATTCCCCCTTGTTGCTGGGAGCCACTCAAAACTGAAAGGAAGATAGCTAAGGCAAAAATGATGTACAAAGTATTAAATAAAATGGGTCCTAAATCACTCACTAATCTTTTTTCATACAAATGTGAGAAAACAAACTACTTAACAACCTTCGTGACATTTCAAGCGGTCTTAGTTTACCAAAACCGCGTACTAACAACATGAAAAATAGTTTCATGTGTGACGGAGCACACCATTGGAATTCTATTCCAAAGGAAATTAGGGAAAGCAAAACTCTTTCATCCTTTAGAAATAAAATCGCTGCTCACAAAATTGACATAGAGTAAATTGATGTAACTGTAAATATTCTAATAACCTTATCATGTAAATAATTTAATATTCTACCTTTTTAAACTTAAGTATTTTAAAATCTCCATGTAACATTTTTCTATTTTTGCACACGCTCCCCGTGGAAATCAGCTTCGGTTGACGGGGTCAGCGTGTATAAATAAAGTTTCTATCTATCGATCTATCTAAAGAATAAACACAAGTTCTGCAGAGTCTCTCTCGCTTCTCTGTGCTGTGCCGAGAAGAAATACGAGAGTACTTTGCTCGCAGGGTACTGATAGTGGTGATCGATACTGCGAATATTCGAACTGATACTATGATTGCATATACAAGACATAAGTGAGTAGAGACAGCATAGAATTTCAGTGTAGTTTTATTAATTACCCTTTTTTGTATATTAAAGTATTTAAATAAAGAGGAAAGCAAAGACAAAGTCATTTTCATGCGAGAATTTGAAATCAGTTGATTTCAAACTCAATATTTACCGATAATTCGATAAAAGGCCGTTAAGTTTTAAGAATATTTTAAAACGTTTTGCGAAGCGTTTGTGGTTGAATTTTACATTAAATTGAAGCTTATATTACTTATAATAACATACCTAGCATATATATGTTTGGGAAATTGATAATTTTGTTATTAAAAGCGATATTTTGGGGGATTTTCAACTTTAAAACTATTCTTAAAATTATCGTGTTACCATGACAACTACTTTCAATTCTTCATATTCAGAAAACATAATGTTTCGTCAGTAAGTCGAGGGTTTCTGCATGCATGTATTTTCTAGTATAGAGAATAAATGGCATGGGTGCGCGGAAATACCAGATTTATCACGAGAAATAAATCTGGTATTTCCAAGCATCCATGTATTTTTCTGTTTATTATACAATGGACAGTCTTTTACAGAAGAAATGATAATTGAAAAGCGATAATTTTCACATATGAGATCATCATGAATAATCTCACATGTGAGATTATAAGTTTTATCAATGCTCGAAATCTCTACAAAGCACTATACTTGAACAGGGCCTTTTTTAAGGATTTTCCCTTGGGGAGGGGGTGGGCATTTTTGGAAAAGGGAACTTTCTGTGAGATAATTATATATTTATAAAGGGGGATAGCAATGGCTGAAGGCCACGTATGTGGCCAACATACCACGCATGAATAGGGTGGATCTGGTGGTGTACTCCCCCAGAAAATGTTTGAAATTTGAAGCACGGGAATGCCATTTCCTGCATTCTGAGCATCCAAATTTGTTCTAAAATTTAATCTAACTATACTTATGTTTGAAATAAAAGAAGGAAAAAATGCACAATATTAAGAATATTAACCGTAATTTATCATTACTTATTAAAGGGGGATACTATTGGCCGAAGGCCACGTGTGTCGGGGGCATAATCCCCAGAAAAGTTTTGAAATTTGAAACCCGGAAATGCTATTTCCTGCATTCTGAGCATCCAAAAAAGAAAAAATTATTAAAGGACATTGGCAAACAAAATTTTTATTGCTCATATCTATTAGCTTTGTCGCGTTTAGTTGTTGAGAAAATGTAATAAAAAGTTCAACAGTTGTCCGCCATTTTGAAAATAAACATTTTTGCCACAGCATACATCATGTGACGTCATTAGCTGGGCAAACACAATTTCATGACTATAAAACAATACCGAGTTTTACCACGCGTAGTGCACTTTGAATCAAAACCAAAGGCAGAAACGTTTTACCAAGTATGTACCTTATTTGTAACACTACTTCTCATATAGTATATATCCTAATCCGTGTTAAATAAACGCAGAAATTCGTGTAACAAGGCAAACACAAATGCAATATTTTATGATCAATTACCTGTATTGTAAATTGCGCCATTCCTTGCCTTCCCAGTCGCTCGATATGTTTTTATCTGTTAGTGTAGACTTCTCTTGTTTGATTGCGAAGAGTATTGGCTAGTATAACGCTCAAAACAACATATTTCTAGCTAACATAACACGCACGCAATAGAATTCTCTCTTGTAGTTTTGGTGCTACCCATCTAATGACGTCACAAAGTTCATTGACCTTCGAAGGTCATTTTTTCCAAGATGGCGGCGAAACACAAAGTTTGCATGCATTTTACTCGTAGACTAAAATGTTCGAGAAGGAAATGATAATGTTTTCATAGTTTGGTTGTCAAATAGGATTGAATAGCCAATAAAAATTTTCGTTGCCATTGTCCTTTTACAATAATTTATCATTATTTACTTAGTGGTAGAAAAACGTGACAATTTAAATCGATTTTGTTAAACAAGGACAAAGGATAAAGCCTAAAACTTACTTTCCGTTTATCTATTTGTTATTATAAAATAACCTTTTAATAACGCCTTCGCTGATTGGTTGAAAAGCGAAAAATCCCGTGTTTCTATAACGCTATAGAACACGGGAAATTTCCACGAATCTGAAAACAACAGACTAAAACAAACGTTTTTACCTGAAATATCGATTAAAAATCTTCGTCAACCTGAAATTTTGTTAAAATTAAACAAGCAATGGAAACACTTACCAAACGTTTTTTCGCTTTAAATTTTCTTTAAATCAACTTTTGCAGCGTGTTTTTCTCCATAATTTTGCAGTCGGATACCTGAAAATTGATGCCGGTATTGTTGCTAGGCAAGATTTTCTTGTTATTGTGTAATGAGAATATACTTTTTAATCGCGTTAAAAATATTGTTTTTGTCATTGTCACAAGGTTATTTAATAAAGGAAATAGAAAACATTTTCCCCTGTGTTTCTATAGAGTTACAGAAACACTTGTGCTAGTTTGGGAGAACTCAAAATAACGTCGAAACACTTGCACTACATGGTCGTGTTCCCACTGATTATTTCTCGTTCTCCCAAACTAGCACGCGTGTTTCTATAGAAACACGGAAAATGTTTTCTATTTCTTAATTTTTCGCTGGTTTATTTGTATAATTTTAGGAAAAAGGGACTTTTCCTAAGGGGGGGGGGGGATGTGATTTCGTGGGGGGAGCACAAGGGGGGACTGGGGGGCATTTGTCCCCCAGCTTGTATGTTAATAATAAGGCCCTGTATTCTTCATATAATAAATCACATTATACAACGATAAAGGCTTGAAAAATTCACTCAACTACGCACGTTTTGCCCGTCTTATTCAAGGTATAATCTTTTCGATTAAAAAAAGGATAAATGCCATATTTTCCATCCGAACTCAACTTTTACTTATTTAGCGCCGACGGCTGCCATGTTTGTTTTGTTTTGAAGCAATCTGTGGCCGTTACGAAAAAAACCGATTGGTTTATTTTAGATTTTAGATTGATTTTAGATTGATTTTAGATTTTAGATTGGTTAATTTTTTCCACCAATCCGATCAATTTGTTACGGATTTTTGCATGCACTGTTGTTGCGTGCAGAAATCAACCAATTACAGTCGAGTAATATTTTTATGTATATTATTATGTACAGTACCAATAAACATATATACTGTGATAATTGCAACCAATTTAATCATATATAATTGACAAAACGAAGTCTTTTAGAAATAAATACAATTTTGTTGTAGCGGATACAAGGGGAGATCCGCACTTGTCCACATTTGATGGCACATTCTACACTTTTAATGGTTATGGTGAATACATCCTCCTTCAAGTGAACAATAGTGTAGACTTAGAGTTTCAAGGAAGAATGAAACCCGTAGTTGATGATCAAGGACGTAGAACCAAGGCGACGGCGCTAACAGCATTAGTTGTCAGAGCAGCTGCAAGTGATACTGTACAGGTGAGATGGCGAAAAAATTTGTACAAATTTGTTTTACTAGCTCTTATACAAATAACATTCAACGCATATATCAATAGATTGACTTTGATGCACCAATCAAAAATCTTTGAATTTTCAAAATTTTTCAAATATATTTTTACTTTTGTTAACAGTTACGACGTTTTGAAGATATTTTATTGTTTCTGAAATATTTCAATTTGTTGGATAATGAAAATATCCGAAATTTTGAACAAATGTCACAAAAGAAAAGTTCATGCAATTTACTTATTCTCGAGTGCAATTCTTTAAAATGACGAGTTTGCAGTTGTGGGACAGTGGGAGGAATACAGAGCTATGTGTAATAATTAAGTTAGCCTTTTTATTTACAAAGATATATTTAACAGTAACGTATATTTTTGATAAATCGAGCCAGTGTATCCATGGAGTATACAGACGTTTATTTGGTAGCTCCAATCTTTTGAAGCATTTTGTAATTTTAATTAATAATAATATGTAATAATCAGTTATGACTAAAGCGGCTGTTAAAAATATAGATAGTGTTGATTTAAAGCTAGCGAAGTTAACGCGCGATCCCCAGAACCAGACAAGCTGCTGTATCTCACCTCATCGAATTGGAAGCTAACATGGGTGACGTTGTATGTACGTAACGAGCTAAATAACTTCTTTAGCTCAATTTATAAATATGCTGTCCAATGCGTCAATATTTTTGTGGATATTGCTGTTAAACAAGCGACAGCCCCATGTTCGAGAGAATAAACACTCTAGAATCTGAATTACCTGTATGGCCGCAGCGCGGGTTCAAGAAAACGAGCAGTACTCTATGAAATACAATTTGAGGTTTGTTGAAGTGGGAGTGAAGATTGTGTCGATAAAGTTGTTGCTTTTTGCAAAGAACAAACAGACGGAGACATTATGTGAATTCGAAAAATCAGTGGCGGCGCCAATTATTTTTTGCCCCCCATTTGCTTCCCTCAAAATTATTAGTTATAAGTTGTCACTACCCCTTATAAGTTGTCATTACTCATTAGTGAATGCGCGTATACATGAAACTGTTTTTTACAGTTTCAATATTAGTTTGTAAATCTCCGGATGGTAAAACTTGCCAATACTCCAAAAATACGTTTCAAAAAAAGACAAAAAAGCTTTAGTTTTGCAGAGTTAAATTCTCAAACGTGTAAGGCAATAATGAGATGAAAGTATCACGAAATTATTTGAATAAACCACATCGCATATATGGGGGGGGGGCGAATGTCCTAAAGAGGGGCGATATTCCTAGGGTATTTGCCCCACCCCCCTGGGAGGCGATATTCCCAGGATATTCGCCCCCGGGGGCGATATTCCTAGGAATATCGCCACGTTTTGAGGGGGGAGGGGCGAATTTCCTGGGGGGGGGGGCGACCTTTTTAAAAATTCTATCTTGCCCCCCAAAATTTGAGTTTGCCCCTCAAATGCCTCCCCAAATTTGGAAGCCTGGCGCCGCCACTGCGAAAAATGTCGGATTTTTTCAAGCTCAGAGTGATTGGTGTGCACGAAAGTTCAAATGAATGATAATGTCCATTGATTTGTTTCAAGACACAGAACATATATCAGTCAATGAAACGGATAATTAATAGCCTAAATGGGAACTGAAGTATTGGTAATCCCTTAATCTATCTACATACTTTTATGTCTTTTGTGTGTTTGAACGTTTTTCTTCCTAAGGTTATAGATGACATTGATCAAGGTTATAGATGACATTGATCAAGGTTATAGATGGTTATAGATGACATTAGCGACATTGATCAAGTCTAGATTCGGATTCATTCGTCAGGTCATTACGCCAAATTCTGTCAGTGATATTTGGGCATCAACATCTTGTGAGTTTTCCTTTGGGGATATTGATGAACAATTTGTTAACAAAAATCTCCATGAGTTGAAAACCAATAAAGCTATTGGTCTTGATCGTGTTAGTGCTCGTTTGTTGAAAGATTCTGCCAATGTTCTAACTCCTGTACTGACCAAATTATTTAATCGCTCACTGTCTTCTTCTATATACCCTGACATTTGGAAATGCGGGAAGGTTACTGCTCTGTTTAAGTCTGGGGAAAGAACTGATCCAAATAACTACCGGCCAATAACAGTTCTCCCGATTGTTAGTAAAATTCTAGAGAAAGCGGCCCATTCACAAATGTATAGCTATCTACAGGATAATAAACTTTTGTCGCCATATCAGTTTGGTTTTAGGCCCAAAAGGTCGACTGAGATTGCCCTCGTCGACTTCACTGACTCAATTCTGGAAAACATGGACAGAGGACTTTTCACAGGGGTAGTTTCAATAGATTTAACGAAAGCTTTTGACACCGTCGATCACGGAATTCTGTATGATAAACTGAAACGCGCCGGCTTTGCTGACACATCCGTAAACTGGCTTGAATCATATCTTACAAACAGAACTCAAGTAACTGCAGTTGGAAATATTTACTCGTCTGCTAAATCTGTACACATTGGAGTACCTCAGGGAAGTGTGTTGGGTCCGTTACTATTTATCATCTATGTGAACGACCTGCCTTCATGTATAAAACACTGTAACGTATCTCTTTATGCTGATGACACGGTTATTTATTTTTCTTCTTCTGATATATCAGTAGTTGAGGATAAACTAAATTCCGATCTAGCAAGTTTAAGCCGGTGGCTCAACGAAATCCTCCTAACATTGAATGAAACTAAATGTAAATTTGTTATAGTTGGGAGTAATCAAAAACTGGCAAAGATAAAAAAAATTTCCTTGCAAATGAACGGATGTCAAATTCATGATGAAGATTCGTTTAAATATCTGGGTGTTATTATGCACAAGAATATGACTTGGTTGGATCATATTGACCAGTTAAATGTGAAAGTTTGTCAACGATTAGGAGCTCTACGACGAGTAAAACATCTACTTCCCCGCGACGCAAGAATAACCTTATATAATAGTCTAATTCTACCTCTGTTTGATTACGCGGACGTTGTATGGGGTGATAAAAATAATGCTCTTTTGATGAACCAACGTCAAGTACTTCAAAATAATGCAGCTCGTACCATATTAGATTTACCAAAGTATGCATCAGCAACTCAGGCTATTGATCAGCTGACATGGAAACCTCTAGTCTCTCGCCGCTGTTCTCATCGTCGCGTGGCGATGTACAAG